AACATCACGATGGGGACCTCAATGGGACCAACATCATGATGTTGGCTTAGGACTAACATCACGATGGGGACCATGATGGGACCAACATCATGATGTTGGCTTGGGACCAACATCACGATGGGGACCGTGATGGGACCAACATCATGATGTTGGCTTAGGACTAACATCACGATGGTCCCCGGCTTTGGGCGGGGGCTTGTAGGTGCTCCTCAAACCGGAGCAGGAAGAAGTAGCTGGTCCTCCAGCCATCCAGGAGAGCCTCGGCGGGTCTCCAAGCTGTGGGGTGTGTGCCAACCACAGCGGGTGCTCACCCGAGATCATTGGGTGCCTCTGTCAGGGGCTCCACCTGCCACAGCCARCTCTCGGGGAAAAGGCTCCGCGACGTGATGTCCTCGTCGGCCAAGATGAGCTCGTCCGCCTCGCCTGGGGCATCCAACGGACCCTGTTGGCCCGGGGAGGCGGCCCTGCTCCGGCCTGAGCTGTGAAGCACAACCTTTCCCCGCAAAACCCTGCCTAGGCCCCGGTACTTGCTTCGGGCGAGCTGGAGGTTCATCTCGCGCTGCTTCTGCTCGCGGATGCCCTTGATGTAGTTGCAGCAGTTGAGGAAGGCCTTGAYGCAGGCGGCGCCGTCCAGGATGTAGGTGGCCCGCTTCTCGCAGCTGTGCCCCATGGGGTTCTCCTGCATGCCGTCCTCGCAGCACTTGCGCAGCTGCTTGTCCTCGTACTCGGCCGCTGCCGGAGCCGAGACRTGGAGATGGCACCGCGTGGAGCCAAACGCCCCACGGCACCGGGGGTGGCTTCTCGCAGGGACGTGGGCATGGGCACCGGCCTGGGGGCTCTCTCAAGGAGATGGGATGAGGTGGCGTCTTTGGGAAGTGGGATGTGGGGGTATCCCCCTGGGAAAGGAGATGCTCCAGCAGCCGTAGGGAGATGGGGTTCTAGGGTTCTCCATCACCCCCTGGGCATTGGGGTGCTCTGACATCCCTCAGGGACAGGTTATTCCCGTGCCCATAGGGAGACAGGGTGGCATCCCTGGAGAGCTTGGGASGCCACAGCATTCCCAAGGAGCTGGGAGACTCCTGCATCCCCAGGGACCTGGGATACTGCAGCATCCTCCAAGCACCACGTACCTTTGGTGCCCTTGTACTCGATGAGCTGCAGGGACCTGCGCTTGCGTTTTGCTGGCTTTGGGCACTGGACCTCTGTGGGCAGAAGAGCCCCRGGTGAGGACACCAGAGGGTCTCACCTGGACCTCCAGGTGCCGCATCCCGAGCCCAGGGTGGCCCGTCTCCATCCTGGAGCATCTTCTACCTGCTCGCTGCGGCGTGTTGATCTTCACGTTGGTCACCAGGCTCAAGCCAGCGTCGGCGAAGACCCCGACGTTGTCCTTCCCACTGCCCGGYGTGCAGCCAATGTCGCTCTGCTCCACTATGTCCCACACCTGCAGCCATGGCCGTCGTTGGCACAACACCAAGCACGCGCGGTTGGTTGATGGCCAATGGCTCTCGCACCCCGCTCAGACMCCCTTGCGACACCCACCTTGGTCTGCGTCAGCTTGTGCTTCTTGTTGAGGACGAAGACGCCCTTGTCCACAACCACCAGCCCCACCTGGGCCTTGTGGTCGCCCTCAATGCGAAGCCGCATGGAGGTGCCCGGTTCGTGCACCCGGTTGTCGGCCTCTGAGGCTCCCTTCACCACCAGCTGYGGGAGAGAGACACGGAGGGTTGTGCCTTGAGATCAACCCAATGTGGATGGTGAAGTCCCCACGAGGTGCCTGAGTCCATGAGCCTCCAAAGGACATCCAAGTCCTTCATGAGGTCTGAACTTCCTGGATGTCCAAGTATCCCATGGGATGTCCACAGCTCTCCGGGCCACCCAAGTTCCCTCAGGAATCCTGAACCCTTGGAGATACCCAAGTTCTTCCAGGATGATCAAGGCCACCATGATGCCCCGAATCCTCCAGGATGCTTTGGAATATCCAAGTCCCTTGGGATGCCTGAGCTCCTCAGGGTGTCCAAGCTCCCGCTGAGATGTCCAAGCACTTCCCTACCAGGGTGCCTGAGCCTCCTAGGATATCTGAGACCTCCACGATGCCCGAGACCTTCACGATACCCAAGACCCCCATAATGATTGAACTTCTCAGGATGACGGATCCCCCAGGATGCCTGAATTCCACCAGGACACCCAAGCCCCCCAAGTCACCCAAGCCCCTCCCATCACTGATGTCTTCCCACGAGGACGCACGGTGCCCATGCAGGTGTCCTTGACGTCCAACCAGACAGAGTCGGCGACGATCTCCCCCGGCATCATGTAGTAGTAGGCCACGATGCGGAAGGAGGGGATGAGGTCGGCGGTCACGGGCAGCGACATGGTGACGAGGTTCTGGCCCTCCTCGCGCCGCTGCCGCCCCACGCGCACGATCTGCCCCTTGCTCATGATCTGCGGGAGGGCAGCAAAGGTTGGGGGGGATCAACGGGGACTGGGACACCCGGGTCCCCAGGATGGGCCGTGGTGGCACTCACGATGTAGGTGAAGAAGGCGACGTTGCGGGCAGCGGGGTTGTTGCTCTTGAGGTGGAAGTTCACGGGGAGGTTGTCGCCGGGCTTCAGCTCGTTGGCCGTCACGGCCAGGTGGAGGAAGTTGCCCGAGTTGCCCTGGCTGTGGTACATCTCGGCCTGCATGACGCGGCTGGCCTGGCGGGCCTCGGGGAGCCCCTCCTGCGCCGTCCGCACCTGTGAGAGGTCCCAAGGCCACCGAGGCGGATGTTGGAGGAGAGCCATGGCCACCATGGAGCCTCCAGCGGCCTCCATCAGTGCTGATCCTCGGGCYATCTCAGCCACCCCCGCCATCCTGGTCCCCTTGGTCATTCCTGTCCCACGGCCATCCCAGCTGTCCTGGTCTACCCGGTCCTTTTGCCACCCCATCTTGGCCATCCTTGGTCCCATGGCCAACTTGGCCGTCTCAATCCTCCTGGTCTCRTGGCTGTCCTGGTTCCACAGCCATCCCAGCTCCACGGACACCCTTAGCCCTGGTCCCTCTGACCCCGGCCACTCCAATCCACCACCATCCCTCCATGGCCACCCTGGTGCTCATGAACCCAATCACCGTTGTCCCCTTAGTCACTCCATTCCCTCGGCCACCACGGCCACCCTCGTCCCCTTGTCTTCCACTCCCCCGGGTCCCCAGGCCCTGCTCACGGTGATGGGGACGGTGTTCCTGTTGGCCGGCATGTTGAGGATGAGCTTGGCAGTGCCATCTTTCTGCGTGGGCACGAAGCCCTGAAGGTCATTGGCCGTGACGGGCACACGCGCAGCTGGTGAACCATCGGGGTTGGTGACGTAGACCTGCAGTGACCAGCAAGGGGACATCGGGATGYGCCATGAGGACACGGAGCGGGGGACATGCCATGGACTCCCCGTCCCCACAGGTGTCCTCCAGCCACGAAGCTTGGGTTGACTCCGTGCCGGGGACCCCAGCGCCGTGGCAGGTCTGGGCTGTCCCCGTGCCTGTCCCCGTCCCCTCGGGCCACCGCAGGGCGCCGTTACCATGAGCTCGAAGGGCATCCCCGGCTTGAAGTACTTGGGCGTGCGGGTGAAGTGGATCTGGTAGGGGGACGTCACGATGCGGATGCCCGTGCGCTGCGCCTCCACCATGTCGCTGCCTGCGCGGGGCCCCGGGGACAGGGACGTCACCCRGCGCCAGGACGGGGCAGCCCGGTGCCAGCCGACCTCCCTGGTTGCCCATGTCCCTCCATGTCSCCTCTGTCCCCATTCCCCCAGGAACCCCTCACTGTCTCCGTTGTCCTTGTAGACCACGTTCTTGGTCTGGGTTTGTCCCCATTGTCTTCCAGGCCACGTGTCAATGTGTCCGTTGACAACATGCGTCCAATGGCAACAGGTCAACCACCGCGTGTCGTGCTGTTGTCACCCGCATGCGTCCCCGCTGCCCAGCCCCATCCCCGTGACCCACCGGACTCGGTGATGACGGTGACGGAGATGTAGAGCGAGTGTCCCACCAGCTCCTGGAGGTTGGCGAAGCGCTGCCGCAGCATCGCCATGGGGAGCACGGCCTCCCCGTCCCCTTCCGTGATCTGTGGACACGGGGGGCTCCGTGGGTGACAGGGTCAGCGATGAGGATGGGGACAGGAGAGCGGGACAGGGCATGGGCAGCAGAGCTCAACAGAGGACAAGGTCAGGAGATGTGGAGAGGACGGCAGGTCTCAGGAGGGGACAAAAGGGCTCAGCAGGGGACAGGGATCAGGGGACAGGAACAGGGGACAAGGGGCAGCAGGGGATGGGGACAGGGACAGCGCCAGCCCACCTGCACCCTCCGCAGGGACTGCGGGATGCTCTTCCTCTCATCGTCCACCATCACCCCGAAGAGGACGAAGGCCGTGCCGTGCACGCGCTTCCCAAAGAGGTACCTGCGGGGTCCCCAAGAGAGAGGGTCGGTTTTGGGGGGGCGAGGGTCACCTGGCATCCCCGTCGTCCTCCACGGGGGTCCCCGCTTCACCTGGCGGTGATGGACACGTAGAAATCCTCCTGCCGGTCAATGTAGAGGAACTTGTCCTTTGGGTCCAGGACGACCTCGAAGCTCGGGAGAACTACCAAGGGTGACACGGGGACAAGGGTGGCATTTGTGAGCGGGTTCCCCCCTGAAAAACCCTTCCTGGGAAATCGCAGCCCTCTACAGGGGACCCTCAAGGGGCCCCTCCACCCCAAGACGTGCCGTACCGTACTCCTTGACATCAAACTGGGTGCTGAAGACCTGCTGCGGCGAGTCTTCGAATTTGGCCGACACCGTCCATGTGCCCAAGCTGGAGAAGGGTCAGGGTGAGGAGGTAGGAGGGGACAGGGATGTCCCYGAGCCACCTCTGGCACCTTGGGAAGGCCACACACCTGACCACCTCGGGTAGCTTGTGGTTGAGGGAGAAGATGCCGGTCTTCATGGGCGAGGAGATGGGCACTTGCTTGACAATGATGTCTTCGGCGGTCTGTGGAGGGACAGGACGGTTGGGGAGAACARGTCAGGTCCCTGTCCCTGTCCCTGCTCCCGTGTCCCTGCCCCCCAGTGCCACAAGGACCCACCTTGACCTCCACGATGATGGTCTTGGGAGCGGGCTCCATATGGTGGCCCACAGCGAAGAAGCGGCAAAGCACTGGGAAGGGATGAGGGGGACAAGACGTGACGGGGATGTCCTGGAATGGGTGATGAGCCCCATAGGGACATCCCAAAACRGGAGCTGGGTCCTCTGCAATGGGGATGTCGCTGTGGCCATCCCAGCCCCACCTCTAGGGACACAATGGAAACCTCTGGAGATGGGAGGTGGGTCTCACCAGGAACATGGTTGGGACAGCACTGGGAAGACCCCAGCCCTAAGCTGTGGGTGTCATGATGAAGATGCCATTGGGGACACCATGACTCCAAGCTCCAGATCCCCAGAATGGGGGTGTCTCTGTGGCCATCCCAGCCCCACCTCTAGGGACACGATGGAAACATCTGGAGATGGGAGGTGGGTCTCACCAGGAACATGGTTGGGACAGCACTGGGAAGACCCCAAACCCAAGCTGTGGGTATCATGATGATGATGCCATTGGGGACACCATGACTCCAAGCTCCGGACCCCCACAACGGGGATGTCTCTAGGGTCCTACCTCTAGACCYTGTCATCAAGACACCCATCCCCATCACCCCCCATGGGGTGATCACGCATCATGGCAATGATTGTCCCCCCAAAGGCGGGAGCCGCACCCGTGGAGCCGGGCGTGTAGATGGGCTTGTCGGTCTGCACGAAGATGTGGCCGCTCTGCGGGGACACCAGCAGCACCTTCTCCAGGGTGGCCTGGGCGCAGCGGGCCTGCACCGACACRTACTGCTTCCCCGGCCCCCGCGGCAGCGCCTTGGCCGTCAGCTGCGGGGACACGCGCGGGGACACCTGGTGACACCCGCGTCCCATGGTGGTGGTGGCCATGGGGACACTAGGTGGCACCTGCAGCCCAGCGCGGTGGTGGCACTGGGCATGGACACAGCTGTAGATGTCTCCACCTTGAGGCGATGGTGGTTCCACCACACGGGGACACTGGGTGACAGCCCYGCACCCAGGGGCGACAGTCCCCAAAGACCCCCGGGGACCCCCATGTGGCATTCCCATCACTTGCGTGATGTCCCACCATGGGGGGACAACCCCCAGGGTCCCCCCAACGTGCCAGTCCCCCACCCCAAGGTGCCTCCAGCACCTCCCTCAGTGCGAGGGGCTTCTCCGCTGGCTCGTATAGGGCTGAGCTCCCTTTGCCCCACCCTTAGCGGGGCACCCTGGGGCGCCCACCTTGATGGGCGCCGTGGCCATCATGCCCTTGGCGGGCGTGAGCTCCAGGCGGCTCTGGAAGAGGACCTGGCGCTTGAGGGGGAAGTCCTGCACCATGAGGGTGACGTCGGTGCTGGCGCCCAGCCCCGGCGCCTCCACCAGCACCAGCTCCTCGGTCTCCAGCCGCAGCACGGCCGGGGTCACCATGGACATCCTGCGGTGGGGGGACATGGCAAAATGTGGGGGGGTCCTCACAGAAGAGCCCCCCGAGCACCTAGTCCACCCAGTGTCTCCAGCACCCACCACTCCAGGAGTCCTTTGATGCCCCCCCAGCACCCCAATGACCTCCAGAACCCAGTGATGCCCCCCAATATCCCCTTGGGATCCCCCTGATCCCCTCTGAGCACCCCAATAGCCTCCAGAACCCAGTGACACCCCCAATATCCCCCTGGGGATCCCCCCGATCCCCTCTGAGCACCCCAATAACCTCCAGAACCCAGTGACGCCCCCCAATATC